AAAAAAAAAAAAAGCCCATGAAAGCGGGAAACGATGAAAACAGAAGAAAACAAAAGGTCGTGGCAGCGAAAAACGACAAACTTCGAAGGGGAACGAAAACCAACAAAAGAACATAGGACGAATTGGCGCGGCATTTATTTCACAATCTTAAATATATATATATATATTTTTAAAATATTTTTCATAAAAAGATCACAACCCAATCTACAGACCTATCAATCTTCAGAGTTGTGGAATCATCCTTTTGAGCGCGAAAAATCGCGGAAGTCGGGGTACTTTTCCCCTTGGCCGTCACATGATACAGCAACAAAAGACCCCAAAAAATGAATATACGACGAGTAGTTATGGATAGGTGAGCAATCATCGTCTTGCATGCAGAAAATAAAAAATGTAATCCACATACGATAACTTGTATGTAGAAAATCAAAAATGTAATCCGCACACGACAATGTGTCTCAGTACACGAAGTACTCGTGATTGCAATGCGCCGACTGGTAATGGCTACCCCGACCGGTTTCGACCGCCGCCACACGGTCTTCCTCAAAGGGATTCCACCTCACATCTCTCTCGTCATTTCCAATTTACCACCAACCCACCGCCGCTGTTGTCCGCTGACCATCTCCGGAGACGCCCAACGGTCTGACAACGTAGGACCCGGAAAAAGACACAAGCTCATACAATCATTGTTGATATAGTTGTGCGTATTCGTTTGCCTACTGCTAGTTCTGAGTCTAAAAACAGTCTCACAATTTCCTACTTGTCTGAAGCCTCAATTCACGACATTCCGTAAGTAACAGGTTCGAGTCCCAACTGGCATAACGCGCAGTATCACAGTCCTACCTATCCTCGTTGGTTTGAGGCCCAAACCGGCCTCTCACTCCCGACGGTACTCGAAAACACCAGTATGGCAACATCCAAATTGTTATTAGACCAAACACTGGACTATAATCCACAGGTTGTGGGTTCGAGGCTCAGCTCGACCATCTTATAAAGCTAGATACCAAACATCTAACAAACACCGTATATACAACATCTACAAGCTACCCTGTCTCAGTATTCAACTCAAACATCCACACAACTCCAAAAGCAAACAAAATACAGACCTACCCAAGCATGTAACATCTATCCAGAACGACACACACATGTGTATTCTAAATGCACAGAACTGTAACCCAACCCTGCCCCTGCATCTCACCAACGATAGTAAACATAGAAGCGTGTAAGCATCACTACCGGCTAAATCATCCCATCTCTTGGTCAAACAACGAACAACAGATCAATTTTCAAACGCAGAAGACAGGTCAGAACATCATATCCCTCAGTCAAACAGCCATCCGTAGATCGACTCCCACATCCGGTCTTTTCCCTTCGTGAATCTTCGCAGAACTCTCTCAAAGAAGTTCTTTGGACACTTCTTAATGCAGAGTTCTCTCTTAAGGGTGAGCACTTGCATTGGGATTTCCTCCCGTAATGTCGTATTTCTGTCGATACGGTGCAAGTAACTTGCTATTGCCGCACTCTTCTGCTGCTTGCTCCCCCAAGAGTTATAGTCTTGTCCATTCTTAAATTCAAGCTCCTCGTCACCCCAGATACCCTCCTCGTTTTTGGATAACTGAACCTTACCAATGTAGGAAGGACGCTTGCTGGTCCTCATCTCCATCCCCAAAAACTTCGACGAATTTCCGCCGTCATCAGTTCTCTTAAGCGTTAAGTTCTTCGGGTAACACTTCTCAAAGGAAACATTGATCCTCTCCACATCTTCGTCGTTGTCGCTTCTTGACAGGACGATCAGACTCACATCATCCATGAGTCTAAGCCCAAAGATGTCCCGACAAAGGTCTCCCATGCTTCTCAGGAACTTGTACTCTGCGTAGGCACACATAATGCACACAAGAGGTGGGCTAGTTCCTTTACCCATTGGGATTCCCACAACTTGTCTCAGTAGTACTTCAGTCGCTCTTGTATATGTGTGCTTAAGCTCGAATCTCACTAATTCCACGATCTGTGTCAAGTCGATCTTCTTCCAGTGATCGTCACCGGTTGTGTGTCCATAGTTGCTTCCTTTTCCCCTTGGATTTACTCTCACAAACTTCCTGGCTTTACTCGAGTGGTAGTCCACTAACCATTCCACTGATTTAACGATTTCCTCGTGAGGTAGTCTGCTGAACATGTCTTTGATGTCGTACGACCTCGAGACAAGTTCGCAGCCTCTCTTCATCCAACGCTCCAGTCTGCGGTTGAAGACGTCAATCCTTGATGCTACCGTTGAGACATATCTCAGGTTGAAGTGCCAGTCCCTTAGCAAGGTGAACAGCATGTGATTCAAAGCTCTTGACATATTCCTCCCCGCCTTGATAGTCGGTTCTGAATATGTTGGGCAGATCGGTCGAAACCTGCACAGATCTTTATGTTTTGGTAGTACGTAGGCATCTCCGAAATCACCCTGCCCGTCCCATTTGACACTTAGCTGTAGGTTGTGTAGCTTGATCTCTGCTTTCATCTGTGTCCTGACCACCTCCTCAGTTCTTGTTTCAACTACGTATCCCTCACTCCTCACGAACATATCCATCATGGCTTCAAAGTACACCTTATGACATATCACCATACTTTCTCCTGTGTTTCTGTCCAACGGTTTTACTACCAACCCCTTCAGTGCTGCCTTCACCTGTTCCACTTCCCTCGTCGTCAAGTACTTGGCCCGCTCCGTTCGAAGACCGGTCAAACACTTGTTAACCTCACATACTTCGACAACCGTCTTCTGGTCTCCACTGTTAACCCATCCTTCAAAGGCCGTGCCGATCTCTTCGCACAACATCTGGCTCCTGTCTTGATAGTCGGGTTTTGAAATGTTGTTCGCGTTGCAAATCATAGGGTGAATCCCCTCCAGCTCCTGTAGTCGGAACTGCACGTGTTCTCCTATCCTTGGATAGGGAAGTCCTGCGCAACAGCAGGTCTGCACTTCAGCTTTAGCGAAACGCCGCTGATTATGTAGCATGCTCGCAACTGTCGGGTTCTTAACCCATACCGTTCGAACAGTATTACGTGCTTCCTTCTTCACACAGACTGGTAGATCCAACCCCTCGATCTTGTCGTTCACCACCTTCCTAACCTCAGCTAGCTTTATCTGATTATCAAACTTAAGTCGTACAGTTAAATATGAATTCACATGCCAACCGTACTCAACCTTGATTATCCTCACGATAATTCTTGGTAAGTAGGCTGTAGTAGACTTTTTTTGGAAGTCCTTCGTGGCGTCTCTCAGCCTCATCAGTTCTTCTAGACTACGTCCTTTCAGATAATCTACTCGACTCGGGTTACGAAGTATCGACACAAGAAAAGACTTGTCTGGTCTGATTTTCAGCTTCCATCGTCTCAGGTAGCAAACCTCCACTTCGCCTCCTTATTCAAAAACTTGCTTACATGCACATAGTTTTTCCCGTTTCCCAATCACCTTCACCACGGTAAGCCTAAATGCCTTACGTATCGATTTCCAACCCCCGCTCCATTGATTTTCTCTACTAAGGTAGAGATGAAAACACCTGTGATCTTTCTCCTCCTTGTCTTGAAGAAAACGGAAAACGTCCAAGTTCCAGTCATTCATCTTACTGCTACGCACGCGCATTGGTATAACCTTCTTCGACTCATATTGACTACGTCGTGTAACTTCCTGTGCCTTTCCCTTTCCTCTTACGTCCTCCGTTTTTCTTCTTCTTCTTCGGCACCCTCCCACTCGTGTTCAAGACCGGGCACCAGTGCTGGATGAACATCGTTTCGAGGAGTACCAGATCTTGCATAGAACAGGAATCGACTGGAATCAGAACGTACGATTCGATCCCAAATGCTCTCCACCATCGATATAGGTGATTATTCTTCTCTCCTCGATTATATACTAACACATGTTCCCTCCACCACGCGCGCGCGTCCCGACCAGTTTGGCATACGTATTGTGCTCGGCAAAAGGGTGATGTCAACACATACACGCACCCCGTAACAACATTGAAAATGTCGACTCGCCCTCGCTCATATAGGCTAATCCATGAGTCTACGCACTTCTCCAACCATCTAATCTGCCCACGTAGAGCTAGCATCATTAGGGCGATGCGATAGATGACATCCAAGTCAGCATTCGACTTACCCTCCCTTCGCATTGAGACAACCCATCTGCATAAAGCCCAAAGCTCCTTATTCGGCCAACATCGACATTCGTCAGTTTCGTGTGTGTCTCCGGTCTCTTCCTCCATTGCTTCCACCTCTTCCGCGGCTTCATCATTGTCCTGCACCCCTTCATTGGGTGCTCCGTAGGCCGTCTCTGCTCATTTTTCGGTGATCGCTACGATCGTGGGGACTTTCTTCCCCGCAAACTGTACGTCTTTATCCAAGAAAATCTGCTTGAGTTCATCGACTGTCATATCAGCTAATAGGAGCATGTTCTCTCGGATGTATTTCACTTTTCCCTCCGATCCGATCTTTGCCGGAACTTTCTTCCGCTGGCTGCCCGTCCTTGGTGTTGTACGTCCCGATGTCTTCTTAGCCGTCATCTTCGGCGTTGTTTTTCCGCCACTGTGCCTGAGTTGCTCGGCTAACTTCACAGGCTTTCCCGCTCGCCTAGGTGTTCTCTTAGCCGATGTTATCATCGGGGGGCTATCCCCCACAGTCTTCTCCGCACTTCGCTTTCTCTTCTCCTGTCTCTCTGTGATCTTTAAAGCGCCAGTCCTACTGCTGATCTCCTCGATATCGTTGTCACCCCAACCTCCGCAGGCTCCTGACTCATCATCGGATGTGCTGGTGTAATCCGATGTTGCCATCTTAGCCTTCCCTTTGCCCACTGTCTCCTTCACCACTTTCTTAACCTTCCTATCGACACGGTCGATACGACTTTCGATTCCTCCCATCCTAATAGATAGCTCCATCGCCATATCTTTGCGCATTAGTGCTCGTTTTTCTTCTTCTCGCCGTTGCTTAGCCTCCTTTCTCATCGTTCGTCTTTCGGCTTCCTCTTTTTCTTCCGCCTCCCGTCTAACCCTCTCTTCTTTTTCAAACTTTCGTCTTTCCTTCTCCTCTTTTGTTTCCTTTTGCTTGTCGACGAATTCGCGCACTGGGCTCAAAGAGTTTTTGAGATCCTCCAGTTGCTTGCACAGGTCAGGCTCTTCAGGGGCCGATCGCCTCGTATTGCCATGTGTGCCGCGCCCCGGTGATAGGGAGCGACCTCTTGGTCCTGTGTAGGCGTTAGAACCTCCTTCGCCCACCAGCCTTGGGCATTGATTCTTGTGATGCCTTGGCTCGTTCCAATTGAAGCAGACAGGAACATTCCTCCTGGGATAATCCCATGGAGGATATCCCCGTTCGTAGTTCCCCCCGCTTGACTCTCCGTACCTCCCTCTTGCGTCCTCTCTTCCACCTTCTCTTCCGCTCTTTCTGCAGGTACCTTCCCTTCCAAAGTCTCTGCCGCCATTGCGTCCACTCTCACAACCGCTGTTGTAGTAGTGGTCTCGGTCTCGATCCCTCCCATCGTAGTAACGATCCCTAACTCTCTCCCAACCGTGGTCTTTGTAGCCGTACATGGTATATCGTCAATGCAAAAGGCGTTCGTCTTCAAAGTAGCTTCGCCGTGCTGCACGCTGGAAAGTTGCCTTCGCTGCTACTGATGTTACCTCGTCGTCTTCGTATCCAGTACTTCTGAAAAGACTTCTTCGCTCTCAATACTTCGTAAAATCTTCGCTTCGTCTTGCTTCGTACGAACTTCAGTCTTGGTCATAGTGCTCTACATGTTCACTCGCACTCGGCAACCTTCTCCAAGTGGGTTCGCATGCGCCTTAACAAGTAGTTATTGATAGCTGAGCAATCATCGTCTTGCATGTAGAAAATCAAAAATGTAATCCACACACGACAACTTGTATGCAGAAAATCAAAAATGTAATCCGCACACGACAATGTGTCTCAGTACACGAAGTACTCGTGATGGCAATCCGCCGGCGGGTAATGGCTACCCCGACCGGTTTCGACCGCCGCCACGCGGTCTTCCTCAGGGGGATTCCACCTCACATCTCCCTCGTCATTTCCAACGTACCACCAACCCACCGCCGCTGTTGTCCGCTGACCATCTCCGGAGACGCCCAGTGGTCCGACAGCGTAGGACCCGGAAAAAGACAGGCTCACGCAATCATTGTTGATATAATTGTCCGTATTCGTTTGCCTACTACTAGTTCTGAGTCTAAAAACAGTCTCACAATTTCCTACTTGTCCGAAGCCTCAATTCACGACATTCCGTAAGTAAAAGGTTCGAGTCCCAGCTGGCATAACGCATAGTATCACAGTCCTGCCTATCCTCGTTGGTTTGAGGCCCAAACCGGCCTCTCACTCCTGACGGTACTCGAAAACACCAGTATGGCAACATCCAAACTGTTATTACACCAAACAGTGGACTTAAATCCATAGGTTGTCAGTTCGAGGCTCAGCTCGACCATCTTACAAAGCTAGATACCAAACATCTAACAAACACCGCATATACAACATCTACAAGCTACCCTGTCTCAGTATAGGACGAATTGGCGCGGCGTTTATTTCACGATCTTAAATATTTTTTTTAATTTTTTAAAATATTTTTCGTAGAAAGATCACGACCCAGTCTATAGGCCTATCAATTTTCAGAGTTGTGGAGTTATCCTTCTGAGCGCAAAACATCGCGGAAGTTGGGGTACTTTTCCCGTTGGCCAACACGTGCAAGAATGACAAAAATGGATAGTGCAACTAAACGGCGCGGCATTTATTTCACGGTTTTTTTTTTTTTTTTTATATATATATATATTTTTCCTAGAAAGATCACAACCTAATCTACGGGATCTCAAATTTTCAGAGTTTTTCCTCAATTCGTCTGAGCGAGAAAAATCGCCAGATTTGGTGCTTGAAAATTGTGGGGCTGGACCCGCCTGCCACACTTTGTAACGTTAGGGTTTGGACACACAGGCACATTCTGACTTGTCAGCTGCCTGACGTCAGATACACTTCATAAAGAAGCAGTCCCCAAACCACACAGGGATCCAATCCACCTGTGTGGTTAGGGCAGTTGCGTATTTCAAATCTGTGCGTGGGTTCAAACCCGAACAACAACCAATGATAGCAAACTTCAAAATATTAATGTGTGTGTATGTGTGTGTATGTGTGTGTATGTGCGTGTGTGTGTGCGTGTGTGTGTGGGGGGGGTTGGGGTCGGGGTCGGGGTCGGGGTGCGGGGGTGGGGGTCTGAGGGTGGAGGTGGGTCACTGCCTGCGACGCAACCGCCGCCCCGTTTCCTTTTGTCGGCGCCGACGCCGAAAAAACTTGGCGTCTAAACGATGAATAAAAGAAAACTTGCGAAAACGAAAAAATAAAGAAAAAAAAACTAATAATAATGGAAGAAAGAAAAGAAAAAAAAGAGAAACGGGTCCCAAGAAGAAAGAAAAAAAACCCCGCAAAAACAGAATTAGAAAAAGGAAAAAACACAAAACGACACTTTCTTGCTATCGACGGCGAGCGCTTCGAGATATTCCCTCGTATCGACGCCCGCCGCCGCTCCGCCCCTTGGGCGCGCTCTCTCGTTTTCTAGCGCGTTGTGAACACTTCGGTACGCACGCTGCTCTGCCCCGCCCCCCCGCCCTCGATCGCCTCCATCCGCCAGCCCGCAGGAAAACTTCACTCCCAAGTCCGGTGCGGAGCGGACCATCGACCTCCCCCCGCGACCAATGTTGCTTAAGGGGTAGCATATATATATATTTTATATATATATATATATATACATACATATATATGGCTGAGAGGAGTCCCACTGTGACTGTGAGAAGTGATCGTCCTATATTGATAACCCTCTATATTTATGTGATATATATATGTCTTGAGTGTTTCGCGCGACCTACTGGGACCACGCGTAAGGGTTAAACAGATAGTGCGTTTGAACGAAGAGGGAGATCCCCTGTTATCCTTTGCTTTTTAGAGTTCTATAGTTGAACGTTGTAGTCCGTGACAGCCATCAAAGTAAAACCCCTTGATTTCTCTCCAGGCCCTATATGGTGGAGCTGGTCTCCTGGGCAATAAGAGACGATTGTCACCACAGGTATGAACCTGTGTACCACCCACTCTCCACAGGGTGCAGAAGAGGGTGTGGTTCTCAACCGCACTTGGCGGTTGTCCAGCTTCGAGAGATCGATCCCTCAAGGCGCGTGTCAATCGACACGAGTGTCGAATGCGACCCTCGAGATTAACGAGGACCGTGTGAGTATGGGTACTACACAGTACGCCATCATTGCGACCGCTTACGTATGCTTGCATTTCGAGTCGGTATGAGTTAGCCCTGCGTCCGCGTGGTTTTATACAAAGTCTCGCGCGCAACGCCTATCCGATTTCCGCATCAGAAAGTTATAGGATGGCTACTAAGGGGCTAGGAGTGTTGTCGCGTTGTTTATTTTGTATCGTATGGGTGTATGTGTGTGTGTGTTCTTATTTTTATGCTCTTTATAGTGGTGTGCGCGTGGCGTGTGGGATGCGTCCTAGTCGACCGGCGACGAGTTGCGCTTGAGACCTAAACCACCCAAGATGCCAGTTCGCGTGCGGGTTCGATAGAGGCGTAATACCGCGCGTACCCCCTATGCTACAACGAACGAGAAACACCCACGGCTGGTCCACCTCTGCGATTGCAACTGATTAGCTTTCTTACTGTGGACTGGTAGCTCGGCGGGGATACGCCCACCAAAGGGAGGTGACAACTCCCTCAAGATGGAGGTAAGTCGTGCCTCGCGTAGGCCCTATCCTGTTGTAGGGGCTCGCGAGAGGTGTGGCTGATGCACTCGGCCGGAGCGGCTTGCGGAAGCTCCATGTATATTCGCAACGAGGATTTACACCAACTCCTACGTGACGCGGCCGGGAGGGTCTCGTACTGCCCTTGAGCGGTACCGGACCGATGCGCTCGACACCGGGTGGTTTGCTGCTCTTAGTTTAGTGGAACCGAGCGGACCTCTGCTTTCAATTCGCTGGTTCCCATTATACAGATCATCCTGCTAGTTAGGACCTAAATGCGCCTGGACGTTTCTAGTGTCAGAAGCATTAATTTCCCTTCCCTAATTTTCTCTCTCTCATACCTCTATCTGCCCTCTCTCTCACTCTCTCTCCCTGTATGTGCACTCTCACACACATACGCACTCACACTCATACAGATTCATGTATGCGTTCGTCCTGTCATTCCCTAGGAGGTCACGTTCACTCCTCCATGCTCTCTAGCTCTTCCCTCCCTTACTCACTATCTATCTCTCCTCACTGTCCGTGTGGGCCTGTTGCGCTCTCACACTCCCCCAATCTCAATCCCTCGCGTTCGCCCGTTTTATAACCCGTTAGAGGAGTCAGCTAGCTGGTTTCAATTTAGTCGCCCCCGATATGCTCATGCATGATAATCAAGCCATAATAATAATTGAAAAAGTTACAGTTACATTTTTAATAAAAATAGACTTTGACTCTCTCTTACAGTTCAAGGCCCATTTACCCTGAGCTCCTCTTTAGTTGCACATGAACAATGCAATGGTTGTAATCAACCACCTACAAGATGCCGAGTTAAATCGATTGTTCGCTTGTTTAGTGCGTCACTAGTCACCCCTTCCCTTTACCATAAAGTGAGATGTATGAGGAAAAAAACAAGTTACCTTCAGTCTCGAGCATAAGCCCCACACTCATCTATCGTAGAATGATGTTGCCATTTAGCTCTCTTTAAATGGAGGACTGTTGTCAAGAGTGTGTGCTTTCAAGCCACCATTGATCCTGATCTTTCACACGGTCGATTCCTCGCTTGGGAAACGTCAGGGTCCGACGTTTTCTCTTCCCGCAACCCGCCTCAATGGCTGTTTTCCACGGTTCAACGCACTATGACTACTCGTCTTTACAGATATGTGAGTAAAGGGACGCTGCGCACATCAGATCTCCACCGCGCTACAACCACTCGCCATTACAGATACATGCGTAAAGGGACGCTGCGTCAGATCTCCACTGGAGACTGCCTTATGTGAGAGGAAATCTCTCTCCCATTGCCGTTGCCGTCTCTTGCCTACCTCGTCGTTGAGCGAGCCTGTGTCAGGCCCTACAGTTGGTGCTCGTCGACCACCTTGGTCCAAGGAATCAATGGTATATGCACTAGATTCGCGTCTGATACTAGCTCAGAACCTCATCCCTTTGACTACCAGGGTATGTCGTGCGTGCAACCAAGCACTCACAAGCTGCCTTTGTTACCCTGACTTGCGTCAACGAATGGGGAGTACGCTTGACACGCGGTCCCCCTCTGTGCCCGTGCCATCCCTTTTCATCCGTCTCCAAGTTCCTCTTTCCCTCATCTGCGTTGATTCGAACGCCCTCTGTCTGAACCGAGTTGTGCTGTGGGCGGTGTACACTAGGCACGCCTCCCCGTGCGCCTACTCCGAATTTGTCCCCCGTTCGAATGATTCTGTCCATTATCTCTCATCGCAGCAGCTCCCCAGGGACGTTGGGCCAGGCCCTAAACAGGCTTGTACCGTCGGTATCAGTCCTTCCAGACTCAATCCTTTGCCTGCATTCCAACTTTCTGACCCAGCAAATTAAGGCCGGAGCTACCAGTACCGAGCGAGTTGTTATAGAACCTTCAACCTCGACAAGGATCGGCGTCGATAGGCCAGGTACAACCAGTATCAGGAGCCGTACCCGAAA